AAAGCATCGCGTATATAAATGGTGAAAGCACCGCGTATAATACTGGAACCACCGCGTATAATGGCGAAAGCACCGTGTATAATGCCAAAAGCACCGCCGTATAATGCTAAAAGCACCCAACAAAATGCCGTTTGACCACTTAAGCCAGCTATGGCTTTCCATAAAAGAAAACCAAAGATGAAACATGATCACATTGCCTGTTTGCCTTATGCCTGACCGCGCTGCACCACGGTTAAAATTCACTGGTACCGTCATGCAATGCTCCAAATAGAAAATTTTGATTTCGACCCACAAAACAAAATTAGGATCTGCTGCCTTGCTCGCTCGCTTCAGGCTCGCTCGCTGCGGCAGCAATTAATGCAAGAAAATTGAGCAGAAATTTGCAATTAAAATCCCACGGATGTTTCAGACGCCCCGTTGCTCTGTTTACAACGGCAAAATACATGAAATATCATGAACGTCTGTGGCTGGTTGTATAAAACTCTTAATCACTTTTTTAATCACTATTTTGTAGTTAAATAGTGATTAACTCTCAAATAGGCGCTTCTTATTGGATGACGTTTGCACTTAACCATAGTTAACTTTAATCACTTTTTTATACAACCGGCCCTGGTATACTGTACAACGCCACAGACAACGCTTACATATCAAGCTGGGACAACTGCTACTTCGAGGTCCTAGAACTTTTCTCAATCATTAACTCTGTGTTAACCTCATTCCTTTTAAGCTGTATTATTTCATTTGATGGATAATATACAACAGGTTTTCTTCTGCAATATTGGGGGGGGGCAAATAATAAAGGCCATATAGCTAATTTGAAAAGAGTTTTACCTATACATATAGTGACAGAGTTTTGAAAAGCTGAAGTGTTTATATCTGGCAGATGCCAGATGACGATACTGCTTCAAGTTGGTCTACCATATTTAAGTTTTTTTCTCTGCCTTATCGATCTTTCCTTTGGCTTGGTTAACTACAAACTTTTCGGCAAACAAGCGGTCGCTTTATATCTACAATTGCTATTGACAATCTCAAATTAATTAAAAAAGACATTGCAATATACACACAAATATACTTGTCATCACCTTAGTATAAACTTGCGTTGATATTGTTAGCCGCATACAAACATTTTTGACAGTAATATATTTAAGACTTAAGTATTTACGACGGTGAGCTTTGTTGATGTTGCAGAGATGTAAATTAGATAAATTCTTATGATGTTGATGAACACTATAGGGTGGCTGAGGACACTTCAGCCATATTTGTCACACTGAAACATCTGCCGGTGAACAGACCAATATGGGTGCTAAAAAAGATCTTAAAACATTATTCTTCCGTTTCTTTCTTGTTGTTGTGTACTGTTTAGTAGGTGCAGGTATCTTCTATGCCATAGAACATACGGACAATTACGAGGAGGAGGTAAACAGAAAGCAGCAACTGTTGAACAAGACGAAGAGAGAAATCATGCACAGGTTTGGTATTAATGATACAGAGTTTGAATCGTTGGTGCAGCGCATGATGAAGGTTATAGATGCGAAATCGGACACTCCATTGCAATGGACGTTTACAAGAGGAATAGATCTATGCTGGCAGACTATTACCACTGTTGGTAAGTACACTCGCAACATGCTGTACTATGTCGTCACCAATGTCAATATCGTTATTAGCCTGACTGTCGATACGTTTACTCTCTGCGATAGAACTTTAGATAATTAGGAGTAAAATGTAGTAAACGTTATCTGACAACATACAGTTTAAGCCTCGGTCAAATGAAGATGAAAGTTGATCAGAGTTGCAAATTTCGCTCGCGTTTGCCCGCCAACTCTCATCGACTCTCATGCCAACGTTTAACCCAGGCTGGGTTCGAGGTTGCTCTCATGCACTCTCATCAACTTTGAGTTGCTTCAACTTGTGATGAGAGTTGTGAGAGTTTTCGCGACGCGCGCGGTAATATCCGCTCAATTCTCATCAAAGGCCCACACAGACAACAACGCGACAGCGAATTTTCGGCAACGCGACGCGAATTTTCAGTTTTCAAAAACAAATAAAACCGTCAACGGATAAAAATTTTACAAGATATGCAGGCCAAATAGCTAAAATTGCTTAAGTGGTTCCTAATATTTGAAAAACATAGAAAAATAGTAAAGTTAAATGTCATTGAAATTTGAAAATTCGCGTCGCGATGACAAATCGCGTCCGGTCTGTATGGACCTTAACTCTCACGAAACTCTTGTTCTCGTTTGACCGGAGCAACTAGAGTTAATACGGTAAGACTGATGAAACGTCAAGCCTGATATCACTCATATTGTTTCATTGATATTGCCTTGGAAAGTCGCACGCGTTGCGCCAAGATTATTCCAGATACATTCATACATGCATTTTACACTTAACACTTTGAGTTTAAACGTGTGTTAATGTTTTGCCTGCAGAGATACTGAAAGATAACTGAATTCTCCAATTACGAATAATATTCTAACCGGCTATGTTACTGCATGAAAGACATGCACTCAGTAGCTAGGCAATTAAGTTGCTATGCAAATTATGAATAGATTAGTCTGATTAGTCTTGTCGTGTCATGCTATACACTCTTTATGTTGCCAATGGAACATTAAAATTTTACAGGCTTATATTACCTCAGCTTGATGTGAAAGAAAAAAGTGTTAATTGACTAACACCCTAACGCAAAATTTTATAGATTTTCTCGAAAACATGGCAGTATTTCTATTAGCAGTTGAATTTGTTATTCATGCGCTTAGAAATTGTTGAGTCTGTCGGTTGATCAGTTTTAATAAAAAAAACCCAGCAGCCTTTACGCAGCATGCATGCAGGTATTCATTATTCTCTTTATTATCATATAATTATCATAATATTTACACAGGGAGCCTATAACTCTAGTTGAAAGGCTGAGTCACTAATAAGTTTTTTAAAAGGATTCATAATTAATTGTGTAAACGTTCTCTGGCTAAAAATATTTATTTATTACAAGCTTTCGACTGCCAGTCTGCAGTCTTCGACGGGCAGATTAATAGTTTTTTGAGCAAAAAGCGGTATTGTTCTGGCAAATGTTTTGAGTTGTTATCGGCGTCTTTAGTGCATGCAGTGTGCCAAGACTCTAATGTCGATCTATGTCGATAGTTGCCCTTGTCAATTACTTTTCCGTTTTTAAAATCAATTCTGTGATCGTTTGCCCACGCATGGTTCGCGATATTAGAGCCACTCTTGCATTTTTCCACGTTTCGTTCATGCTCTTTTCTTCTTGTTTTGAAGGCCCTGCCTGTCTCGTCAACGTAACTCCACGAGCAATCTGAACAATTAATCTGGTAGACCACATTCGTCTGGTTCTCAGGTAGTGGTTGGTCTTTTGTTGAGGGAAACATTTGTTCTAGTGTGCGGAGAGGTTTCGTATAGTTACTCGGATGTCGTGAGGTTTTAGAATGCGTCTCAGTTAGTCCTTTGATGTACAGTAGGACAGCGTAACTGCGCTTGGTCTTCGGTTCCACCAAGTCAAAAAACGATCGTACTAGTTCTTCGGGTGGTGGCGTTCTGTTCTCAAACATGACACGTTTCTTTTCAACTTGTTTCAAAAATATCTTAGGGTAACCGTTTGACATTAATGTGTTGGTTACATGTTTGCGTTCTTGTTGTTTGCCTTCGTCTGTGTTTGGTAAAGTTGCTGCCCTATGTATAAGAGAGTTTGTGCAGTGCTGACTATGTGTCGTTTGTCATGGTGCGAGTTATAGTCTAAGTATCTGTCAGTGTGTGTAGGTTCCCGGTATACGTCAATAGAAAGAGATCCGTTATTACGTGTGACTAAAGTATCTGAAAATGAAAGATTTCCGTCAACTTCCTGTTCAATGGTAAAGTTAATATGTGGGTCGATAGAGTTAAGTAATTTGCAGAAATTGGTTAACGCATGTTTTTTAATGATAGAAAATACATCATCGACATAACGAAACCATTTCTTAGGTGGCATAGAAGATGTACTTAGTGCTGAGTCCTCAATTTCCTCCATGCAGAGGTTCCCCACAATAGGGCTAACTAATGCGACTACCTATTGCACCACCATGAATTTATTTGTACGTTATCTTGTTGTAATTGAAATAGCTATTAGTAAGAGTAAAACGTAAAAGTTTAATAATATCTTCAATAGAAAATTTAGTTCTAACGTGTAGGATTTTGTCTTTCGTGAGTTTGTTGCGGATGTGTTCGCATGCTTTGTTTACTGGTATCCCTGTAAACAACGATACAACGTCAAAAGACACCATGATTTCACCATCGTCAATGTGCGTTTCAGGAAGTTTCTTGGCGAAGTGAGTAGAGTTGTTAACAGAGTAACCATTGTGGTTTTGTAGAGGTGAAAGAATATTTGCAAGAAATTTAGAGGTGTTGTAAAGAGCTGTGTTCCTACATGTAACTATGGGACGGATTGGATTGTTAGGTTTGTGATGTTTGACAGAGCCTCGTATGGCAGGTGGTATGCTGTCAGTAGAGTGTAGTTTTTTGTATGTGATTTCGTCGAGTTTTTGTTCGCGTTTAAGTTGCAATAACTGTGCGTTCAATTCTCTTAAATGATCGTTTTTTGATCAACTAGTAAATCTTGCATATTTTTGCCGTAGTCGCTTCGGTCCATCACGACGAAACAGTCCCTTTTGTCACTAATCGAGTCTTTAATATATTTCTTGAGTTCATCGATTGCTTTGCGTTCGTTTGTTGAGGTGTTCTTGTGATTCGGTAGTTGACACCGTCGTAGAAGGTTTGCTGCTGATGTTCGAACGGAATCCTTAGATTCGTCAGGAAGGTCGGTAATTGCAGCTTCAATCTCGGCAACTATATCCTTGTGGGGAATTTGTGATGGCGTTGGAGCAAATTTGGGTCCTTTCTCCAGGATGGCTCGTTGATTACCCATTTCTCGCGATCAAGTGTTAGATCAGGTGTGCATTCATTATTCAAATTTTCAAGTTTCTTTTCATGTCTGGCGGAAATGCTGCTTTGGTGAGATCTAGCTCGGTGTTTTAGGAAATGGGAGAGCCGGGAGTAGAAGTGGCTAGAAATACAGGATTGCACTTTATTACGATTTTCGGTAATGATGCGGTTGGTTAATCTGATCTGTTCATGGCAGATGCTAATCCTTGCTCGCATGCAGTGGATGCTCGTACGTTCCATCGTAGAGACTCCCAAGTCTCCAATCAACGATTTTCTAGTGCGCGGTATGTGAAATTGAGGTGACGATGGTGTGCTTCGAGTTTGTAAGTGGATTTTTCTAAGGATCTTGCTAGCTTCTAGGCATTTCGCCCGGCCTCTTGGCAAAATCAGATGCCTTGAAGGATTAGCATCTGCCACGAACAGATCAGATCAACCAACCGCATCATTACCGAGAATCGTAATAAACTGCAATCCTGTATTTCTAGCAACTTCTACTCCCGGCTCTCCCATTTCCTAAAACACCGAGCTAGATGTGTCCAAAGCAACATTTCCGCCAGACATGAAAAGAAACTTGAAAATTTGAATAATGAATGCACACCTGATCTAACACTTGATCGCGAGAAATGGGTAATCAACGAGCCATCCTGGAGAAAGGACCTAAATTTGCTCCAACGCCATCACAAATTCCCCACAAGGATATAGTTGCCGAGATTGAAGCTGCAATTACCGACCTACCTGACGAATCCAAGGATTCCGTTCGAACATCAGCGGCAAACCTTCTACGACGGTGTCAACTACCGAATCACAAGAACACCTCAACAAACGAACGCAAAGCACTCAATCGATGAACTCAAGAAAGATAAGACTCGATTAGTGACGAAAGCAAACAAAGGGGGCTGTTTCGTCGTGATGGACCGAAGCGACTACGACAAAAAGATGCAAGATTTACTAGTTGATCAAAAAACTTGAGAAAGTGTCTAAACCTCCATTTAAGAGAATTGAACGTGAGTTGAACGCACAGTTATTGCAACTTAAACGCGAACAAAAACTCGACGAAATCACATACAAAAAATAGGTACGCGCTGCGTACATGTGGGTAGCCTGCATTAATTGTTGTTAAAGTTGGAGTAATACCGAGGTTGGACTTTGGAGTAATACGCGCAACAAAATTGCTGCAGCCAAAATTTCTGCAACAAAATCTGATTTCAACGCATTTTAAGTAGAAATGTTGACAAAACATTTCAATTAACATGCGCAGAAATCAGATTTTGTTGCAAAGCAATTTTGTTGCCCATATTAGTATATTACTCCACCTTAATTGCTATTGTCAAATTCCGAATTTACTGAAAGAAAGTATTAAGTAAATTGAACACAATTCAAATATTATACACACATTTAATCACATACTGAACATCAGATATGACAAAAATACGTAAACGACTGTTACGTGCATTTTTCAATAAGCATAAACAGATTTAAGAAGTTACAAAGTATTTTAATGTGTCAAAAATAATTTGAACACTGAACAGACAGAACAGTACAAGGTCTTTAATATGTATACGAAACAAAATACATCACACGCCGAAATACAGACAGTACGAAAAACACTTAAGACAAGTCTTGTTCAAGGACAGCATACATCAAAGACAAAGCATCAGGTTTACAGGCTGCGTATATACAATTTTCGTGAAGTTTGAGTTTCAAGGATAGTCCATGCAAAGATCTAAGGACGATGTTTTCCGGCGGAGTTTGAAAAAGATCAACATATATTTATTTAGTACAGTGATGATTGAATTATTTAAACAACGACATAATCGATCTCATATATATTGGTAATGACATTCAATTTGCTTTCAATATTCGACAAATATATCCCTAAGTAAAAAAGCGCTAATATTCCACTGCCTAATTTAATCCTTGTGTAAACCGTGCTTGGCTTTCTATTTGCCTTAACTTACACATTCGACTAACCCGATTCCAATGACGTGGCCTTACAAACATTATGTAAGCAACGACATACTCTTTTTTCTTTTTTTTTTTTTTTCGATTCTATATACCTATATGTTCGTCATTCGTCAACATTCCTTCGATATAGACTAACGTAAATATGTCCAAACGTCGCGCGCTATATCACTAATTACTATATTTTTCTAATACGTATAAAATGTTTGATCAAACTGATATGTCGTGTTTAAATATGACATTACACGATATAAAACAGACCCCTTGCGCTAATATTAATCCCAATGACCCTTGTACAAGCAGTGATTATAAAAACAACGACATATTCGATTCTATATGCGTTGGAAATGACTATCGACCTGACAAAACATATTACAATAAAGACTTTACTAAGAATTTATACACCTCTCTGTACGGTATGAGCGTTAGTGAACTTAGCCTGTGGTCTATAGACGGTTCGTATTTCAAGGATAAAAGGAACCGCGCAGCAGGACACCGCGGACACGAAGGCCACAGCGCCACAGAGCCACAGAGAAATGGAAGATCGCGCTTCAGTCTCTCACATAGTGGTTAGCTGCGCATGCGCGGCTACCCACAAAAACTACACTCTACTGACAGCATACCACCTGCCCTACGAGGCTCTGTCAAACATCACAAATTAACCTAAATCCCTGGGCCTGGGCAAACTAGGAAACATTGTTGTGGAACTCATTTGTGATTCTCGATGTTTCCTCAAATGTTTCCCTGTTTGCCCACCCGTGGAAACATTGTTGCGGAAACAAAATTTGCTTTCCAAGAAGCAAATTTGTTTCCTAGCGAATTCAGAAACATTTGATGTTTCCCTATGTTTCCCACTAATGTTTCCTAGTGTTTGCCAACTCTTGGAAACATGGCGAAACATTTGTAGGAAACAATGTTTCCGCAACAATGTTTCCTAGTTTGCCCAGGGCTTAACAATCCACTCCATCCTATAGTTACATGTAGGAACACAGCTCTTTGCAATACCTCTAAATTTCTTGCAAATATTCTTTCACCTCTACAAAACCACAATGGTTACTCTGTTAACAACTCTACTGACTTCGCCAAGAAACTTACTGAAACGCACTTTGACGATGATGAAATCATGGTGTCGACTTTTGACGTTGTATCGTTGTTTACAGGGATACCAGTAGACAAAGCATGCGAACACATCCGCAACAAACTCACGAAAGACAAAACCCTACACGTTAGAACTAAACTTTCTATTGAAGATATTATCAAACTTTTACGTTTTACTCTTACTAATAGCTATTTCAGTTACAACAAGATAACGTACAAATTCATGGTAATGCAATGGGTAGTCCCGTTAGCCCTATTGTGGCAAACCTCTGCATGGAGGAAATTGAGGACTCAGCACTAAGTACATCTTCTATGCCACCTAAGAAATGGTTTCGTATGTCGATGATGTATTTTCTATCATTAAAAAACATGCGTTAACCAATTTCTACAAATTACTTAACTCTATCGACCCACATATTAACTTTACCATTGAACAGGAAGTTGACGGAAAACTTTCATTTTTAGACACTTTATAGTCACACGTAATAACGGATCTCTTTCTATTGACGTATACCGGGAACCTACACACATTGACAGATACTTAGACTATAACTCGCACCATGACAAACGACACATAAGGGCCATTTATACGTGACAAAATAAGTCGCGACTTACATAAGACGCGACTTAAATAAGTGGAGTTCTCGCATAAATGGTTCTCTACGGCTTTGGTCTTATTTATTTGCTCTAGCTATAATGTTGTTTTGGTTGTTTTTGTTTTAATATGCAAGGCATTAAATTTTACGTTGTTTCAAGTTTCTGGCATGTGTAGTTAGACTTTTTGTCCAAAATTTCTTATTTAAGCCGCGACTTAAATAAGAACAGCTAAAAGACCTGTTCTTATGTAAGACGCGTCTTATCCAAGACGCGTCTTACATAAGAATTTTGTACCTTTTATACGACAAACTCGCGTCTTACCTAAGTCGCGTCTTATGTAAGTCGCGTCTTATTTTGTTCCGTATAAATGGCCCTATAGTCAGCACTGCACAAACTCTCTTACATATAGGGCAGCAACTTTACCAAACACAGACGAAGGCAAACAACAAGAACGTAAACTTGTAACCAACACATTAATGTCAACGGTTACCCTAAGAAATTTTTGAAACAAGTTGAAAAGAAACGTGTCATGTTTGAGAACAGAACGCCGCCAGTACATCTGTGTGATACATCTATAGATAGTACATCTGTGTGAGTGAGCTGCTTTCTCTAAAATCTTACTAACAGTAGGGAGAACTGTTATTGGTCTGTAGTTATTTGGATCTGATTTAAACAGGGGCAGTGATCTTCCCGCATTTCCAAATATAGTAGGATACGTAGAGAAGGAAAAAATTAGGGGCAGAAAGAAATTTGCCCGACTTTTTTCCATTGTGCCCGACTTGTCATAAAAATTTTCCGTGCAAACTTTCCAAACTTTTTGTCGAGGGAGGGGGGTGACGACGAAAAAAATTTAGAATGTATTATAATTTATTATAACATATATTGGGGGGCGGGGGGACGACGACATTTTTTATTATTATATAGCATATTTCCCCCAATATTGAGGGAATTTCTCCTATTTATTTTTCTAATAAGCCAATATTTGCCCGGCTGTGAAGAAAATATTTCCCGACTGGGCTAGTCTCTGCCCAACAATCGCCCGCCCCGTACGCCTATGTTCTTCCACAGGCCGTCAAAGTAGCTCTGCAAACATTCACACGATGATATCAGATCATCATGGGAAAACTATAGCAAGAAAAATAGGATGCAAAGGCACAGTGATGTTAAAAACTAGATTTCGAGTATGCGGAGAAACGGAAGACAAATGCGCGGAAATACGGAGATGCGTTGGTTTAAATTTAGTCTTGAAAAATAAAGACGTAACCTTCTGCATTAATCTAAACCGCCTGTAATCGATGCATGCATCTTTCTCCGTTAATTCAATTTTACGACAAACTTGTTTTATCAAATGCTTTTCTTTTATTTAGGTTATGGTAACAAGACACCCACGACACTTGGAGGACAACTTTTCCTCATTCCCTTCGCCGTGTTTGGAATTCCACTTACAGTATATATGCTGAACACAGTTGGTCAAAATATTTGTCATTTTGTGTGTTTCATCATTAACACGATCGAGAAAAGGCTCTTAAAAAAAAAGGAAATAAAGTCCTGTAAAGTAAAGTCATTATGTGCAGTTTCTCTACTGACTGTTGCTTTGTTGGTGTTCATGGCTGGTATCAGTGTAAAGGTGGAAGGCTGGAGTTTTGGACTAGGTTTATATGTTTGGTTTGTCACGTTTACCACAGTCGGATTTGGAGATTATATCCCAGGACATGGGACTTCAACTACTGCCGACATAGCGATCATATATCGACTCATTCTTGTCGCGATCGGACTAAGTTTGATATCGACTATCTTCAATGCAATGACGGATTGTATCGAGGAAAAGAGGAAGAAAGCCGAGTCCAAATCCTGGCTTCAATTTTTTGTTTCAGCCTTCACTTCTGACAATGCAACAGACCACAACGACAAGGACAGTACTGAAATGACTGTACATCCAACTCCAACAATCTGAACTTGCAAAAACATGTCGTTTCCAATTTGAGATATTGTTGCCCAATGTCCATAGAATATTTCTGTTCTCCATGCAGCAATATCGTGCAGTACATAGCAAATTAATAATGAACTCTATTTTCAAAACGTATGCACTAAAATATCTTATGTTAATAGTCTATGTATTAAAACTTCTGTAGCTGTGAACGAAGCTATAGAGAATATAGGCATTTTTACCCCCGCGGTTGGTTACCGATGATATTATATTTATATATAGTTTCTCATAAGGGTTATTGTAATACTTTGTTTGAACCAGTAATATATTTAATGATAACATTTACCGAGCGGCGAGCAATGAAAAATAAACCTGACTTGACTGACTTGGAGAAATAAATAATCAGTAAACGCGCTTTAATATCAATTTCAGTTATTTTGAATATGTAAATCTATATATCTTTGGGGCTCAGATTGACCTGGATGTTTGTTATTAATATTCCACAATCTTTTATTTCTGTGTCTTAAAACAGATTTTGAAACGTATTCAGATATGGAAAGTTCAACACCTTTATATAGGCAAAGGGTGTTCATGAGTAATGTCGGTACTATACTCCATAGTAACATTTCAGTTTACAGCTTATCGATCATAATCCTACTCCTATAGTATAGGGCTAAAGGCACAATGAAGATTAATGTTTCGTTTCGCGAAATTCTATTGAGTATTGATTTGAATACCAAACCAAAACTGAAATTTTACTATGGAGTATAGACCACATTTGTGCTATATTAGTAAAACAAATATAAAACTTTTTTCCGTACTCATATACAGTTATATCAACACTCGTGGAAATTTCTCGTTTTCCCAATTTCTCGTTTTCCCAATTTCCAATCAATACAGAAAATGTTTTATATTTGCTAAATAAACAACTTTATATTTATATTTTTCTAAGATCTTTATATTTTGCAATGTCCAATGAGCTCTGCTAGTATATGTTTATTTTTTTTAGAAAAAGAAAAAATAAGGATTATTCGGCACACTTTTTCACAGGTATGAATTGAAAATTAATGTCAGAAATTACTCTCAAAATTGCCGACAAAGGCGTGTATGGCTGTGCTTGAGTGTATTAATACATGTTTCTTATCATTGCCATTAATTTACTTCTTTTCCTGATTTCAAATTTAAGTAATATATAATTGTAATATAGCTAATGTTCTCTTTTATATAAATGTAATGTCATATTTACCTCATGTAATATAACCTTTTTAATTAAGTAAACTTGAAAGTCTGAATATTGATTTATCATAGATTATAAATGTTGTAATATATATAAATGTAATATATATATATATATATATATATATATATAAATGTTGTAAATAGACAATAGATATACTCCCTCACTCTCATTATAGTACTTCGTACTATTAAGTGTCACCCTATTTAAATAAAGTCTCTATCTATCTATCTATCTATCTATCTATCTATCTATCTATCTATCTATCTATCTATCTATCTATCTATCTATTGCTCGTGTAAAACTGACTATAAAATTTTATTAATAGGAGATTACACTTGTTCTCGAAGTATTACAAATATTTCGCCAAACACATGTGCGATTTTTCATTAGTATTTCATCTCGAACCGTGTAATTTCCTATACAAAAACAGCCTTAGACAAACAGTGAGTGTGATTAAAGAAATGTTATTAAAGTCGGTTCTCGGTTATTGCAATACATTTGAATCCATATATATATATATATATATATATATATATATATATATATATATATATATATATATATATATATATATATATATATATATATATATATATATATATATATATATATATATATATATATATATATATATATATAGGAGAACTGAAGAACTTGTTCGCAAACTAAATTATATACAGGGAAAAAGGGAAAAAGGAACTCTGGTTTGACTCGAACTCTGGTTTGACTTCCTCAGGGAAAAAGGAACAATGGTTTGACTCGTACCAAGTCCCTGAAATGAGGATTGAAAAAAATAAAGGTGCATGATGGGAAAGGTCACAATGGTCTATCCACTGATCTATATATTAGCCATTTATTTATTGACGACTGGGTATAAGTCAGATCAAAGGGATCATCTTCATGCAGTAGTCTTGACAAACTTGTTGCAATGTTGTTACACGCGATCAAAAAAAATGCGCTGTTCACTTGTAAGGTTCCCAGCTTCCTAATTTTCAGTGTAATCTGTTATGAAATGATGTGAAGATACATATCATACACTGTGCATGTATACATTGACGCTATCGCAATGGCGTACTCATAGCGAGGGTTCACTGTGAGCATCAGTCAGTCAATTTCATCAGTACAAGGCAGTTATGTACCATATTTGCTCTATTTAGCGCCCCTGGGGCTTATTTTTGGTGGTTCTGGACCAGAGTGCATTCCATGCACGTTTTGTGGAAGATCTTCGGCGTGAGTTTTGAATTGCTGGCGCACAATCACGTCGAGGTTGGCGCACAAGTTTTTAGTTTTGGTGGTTGGCGCAGCATCAAATGTTTAAGCGAGACTTTGAGTATTAATAATCGCCTGGTGATTGGCCTCTATAATTATTTAGGGACTCGAGAAATTTGTGTTTCTGGTTGTAATAGTAGCTAAATGGCGGTTATAACTTGTGATACAACAGTAACAACACTCATCATTGCTCATCAGCAAAACATTTTATTCATCAGTGCGTTACACGCCTTTTTAGCAAGTTTAAATTTTAAGCAACTAACTATTAATGAAAAATCATGGTGCCCGCGATCAGCCGGCGCATAAGTTGACCTCACTTGGCGCACGGTAACACTACCTCAGATTATCTTCGGCGTGAGGTTTACACGGAATGCACCCTGGGACTTCTGGACTGGGAGCTTATTGAGGGCTAAATAAAGTCAGTGGACTCATAAATTTTCACGTTCTTTCAAAAAACATCGATTCGCCGAAACATTAGAGAAACATTTAGAGAAATGATGTTCTAGTAATTTCCCGTTATTTAGCCATATAAGTTAACTTTTGTGTCTGTATTTCGCTATACTGAGTTTATACTGAGAAGGATTTGATTGATAGATGATGGGGGCTAAATAGAGGGCACATGTGGGCTTATTTTTCAGTACGGTAGGTCGGTAGACGGTAGTCACGACGTCGACGACGTTTGAATTAGTTGGTCAGGCACCTGCATATTTAACAGTTTCGCGACAGCCAATATATATTCAAAATTAGAAGCAATTCAGCTTCAATATAAGTCGGTATTGTATTTCTAGGATGATCGAAATGACCTATAGAAATTATATGCAAAATTCAAATCAATTGAACTTGTGTATCAGTATATCACTTGTTTATATCTTTGTCGCTATATCAGTTGCTTCACATTAATAATTCACATATTCAACCCAAGGTGACTGACAAGTGATCTGTAAATCGTTTGCACGCTTGAAGAAACCCGACATGTAATTAACTCGACATATCAAGAAACCGACATATTGAAATCCGTCTTATTATTAACGACATCTTCTTTCAAACTGATCACACAATTTACAAGCTCATCAGTTCGCTTTTGTTGTCTGAGGAATTGGCTAAACCTAGTATGGAGTCTAATTATGACATTCGAACACTCATATTTCGTACTTTCATGGTTGTGGCTTATGTTTGCTTTGGTAGTGGAATATTCTATCTCTTAGAACGAGATGAACCCTTGAGGGAGGCTGCCAAATTTGAAGAATACTACAATAAAACGATGTCGAGCATTTTAGGCCGTAGTATCACGAACAGCACTGAAATGCAGATCATAATGGCAGAAATTCGGAGAACATTTCTGCAAGAAAGCTATCCGATAGAGTGGGATTTCCTTGGCGGAGTAAATATCACAGTTCACGCTATCACTACAATAGGTTTGTGTGTGATTTCAACATATCTTTAGACTTCACTCTCTGATATGATATCTCAGTTCATGAGATAGAATCAGTAGTTATTCACATGTCAGTACTAGTATAGTGTAGATTTCAATAACTATTAATGGTGTCGATTGTCGTTAATAGTCTGGGAAAGACTCCATACGCGTTAAAGATGATATTAAGTCAGGTTTCCACTTCAATCGTAGCGTATTTTTTTTGTTTCTTGAGCGGTATAGTGTGGAACTAATGGCTTCGACACAAAAGAAAATGCTACGCCTACGGTACTTACGTTACGATACGGTTGAAGTGGAAAACATGCAGGCTTTATTAAAAACGTTTATGTATTTATTTATTTTTTCAACCACAAGGTTAAGGAATAAAACTTGTAAACTAGTTGTGTTTGTGTTTGTTTTTGCTCTAGTTTAGTGTCATGATGACACAAACTATAGTAGAGCAAAAACAAAAACAAACACTGTCCTGCCGTATGCTAACAGATGTCAGAGTGTTGATGATAGTTTGATGACAGCAACCCAAGAACCCAATCAATTTAAAATAGAGTTCTAGTCTTAATTTGTTTTTAAAGGTTAGGCTCTTTTACTGCAACTTTTATGTGATAGGCCGGCGCATATAGTTAAATTAAGAAGGTAATGACTAATTATATACTGCAATTATAGTCTGTATTGTCTGTCGAATTGGCGGAATTGCCCCAATCGGCTTATAGTTATATACATAATTTATGTGTTGCTAGTGCTTCGTTCATAATCAGTATATCGTACGGAATCTTCAGAAATTTTGGGATTATAAATTTATAATATAAAAACAGATGATCGATCATTATAAACAACATTTGCAATTCAAATCACCAAAAACCAGTTTCGGCTTACCGGGAGATACATGAACAGATGTCCGTGATGTTTACATTTTGTACCGCAAAAAACGTCCTCAGGCTCAGACATGAAATTTTCAACATGAGCTCCTCCTTTGAATTTACTATATGAGTAAATTCTTAAACACGTCCGAATTTATCATTCTGATAAAATCGCGGCACATTTTGAATTTATCAATCATAAAACCACAAACATTAGACAAGACTTTTTGTTATAAATGTAATGGCACTAAAAGGTAGGCTGGTCGCGCGGGGGTGGGGAGATTTTCAAGATTTTCAAAAGAAAAGTTTAAAAAAGTTTTAAAAAGAAAAGAAAAGTTTAAAAAGTTAGATTTTCAAAAAGTTAAAAAAGTTAGATTAGGGTTAGGATTAGTGGTTAGTGTTAGGGGTTATATAGATGCCGCGAATTTATCGTTATGATAAATTCAAAATGTGCCGCGAATTTATCATAATGATAAATTCGGACGTGTTTAAGAATTTACTCATATAGTAAATTCAAAGGTGGAACTCATGCTGGAAATTTTCGAGGAAATTTTTGTCTCCAATTTTTATGCATCACTTGAAAGTACCTTGAAAATGATGAAGAATGGCCTTAACAATTTAGTCACAGTTCACCTCATTCCTATCTCATTCCCAAGTTATCGGATATTTTGTATTTTTGTGTTATATGACATCACTAGATGCCAGCCAAAAGAAGAACATCTGATATCTCAGAAGTGATTCAACGAAATTAAATGAAATTTGTGCCCACACAGTTAGTAAGTTGTAAAGAATATTCAGTTGCATGCAGACTTGCAGACGAGAATTTCTCGAAATAAATTTGGTTGCTAGAGAGTAGAGGTAAAATTATTTTCTCAAAACAAAGAAATGGCGAGAAGGTCGATAAACAGTACGTTTTAAAGTTTTCCGATAAGGGACTGGTCATAAAGTAACTGCTAGGGTGGGCTGGAGGTAAATCACAAATTTTGCCAATAAGTTTGGTGACCCATCTTAGGAAGTAGATAAAAATTTCAAAGCCCATCTAATCTTACCAAATTTACTATTTCATGACCCACCCACCCAATCCAAATTGGGAAATACACTTTTATAATAAAAAAAACTTGCAGGTATGAACATTGTAAATATACACTGGCACTGTATTGACATACATAATTCCACCAAGCTTGACCAACACATTCATCACCAATTACGACACTGAGTTGCTCTCCTGTTGGTTGTATTTGCAGTGATTCGACCACTTCTTGTTTTGCATAAAACAAAGTACTGGCTTCAATAGCATCATTTGCATTTGATAATTTGGATAATTTTGTTTACTTTTATTATTAATATCTTTAGTATATAATATACAATTAACATAGGTTTTTGTTTGGTGGCCCAACCGTGGACATACAAAAAAATTGTTGGCCCAACGAAACTGCCCAAAAATTTTCCATGGCCCATCCCAAATCACTCCAGCCCACCCTAGCAATTACTTTATGACCGGTCCCTAAAAACCTTACGCGCTGACAAGTCCACGAAGGACGAAACCCCCCGTGAGGATATCTGAATTACACACACATGAATATTTCCTTCTCTTCTTTAGTATATTTCTACGTGCCTCCATACAGGTTTATTTAGTACAGTATGGCCATTCCAGACCGGAAGGGTCTTCGCTCAAACGTCGAAATTCTCCTTATATTTTTCGGGTATAGTTGCATCCCTACCAACAAAAGCTTGTTCATCCTCTAAAATGTCTGGACGCATTTTGATAGACCGCACGTTATGGTTTTTCAAAACACACACTTTCTACGTATATCAAGATTTAAACTTTTACGTTCCGTTTACCTTTTAACTTTTGCCTACACCTTTTCACGCATTATTTGGGTTCACATTTATACAAGAATTTTACTTATTTTTATCACACATGGCATAAATTTGGTAGATTGCAATTGTGACAAAAACACGAGGCCATTCAATATTTCACACTACAGATTTCACGTTTCCACATCGGCTAAATATTAAGGACTGTTGTTGCATAAATCAGTGACACCACTCACCAGTATAATGGTTCTCATTATACCTATATGAAAACTTAACAATTTTATAGTACGTACTTATCTATTAAAACTACGTTGTGTAGTTTACGTTTTAACCTTTCTTGAACTTGTCTCGTTTATATTCAGTACTATATGATTCACGGTTTCACGGGAATTCATCGATCCAAAGTTTCGGATCAGTTTCAGAGTCGTGCGCAAAGAAAAAAGCATCAATTAAGAAAGTCCAGAGTTCGACACAATGCAAAATCCATAGAAGACGGGTACAATTCGTTGAAAATGTTAACGAAATTGTTTGAAACATTTTGCCCACTCCACAAATGGCCGCAATTTTGAAAACTAAGCCTGCGGTACCTCGATGGTATATGCCAAAAACCCGACAATGGACAATGACAGCCAGCCCCCATTTTATAAAACTGGTCCTATCGGCCAGTGTAATAAGAAGAGAGACTTGCTAACTAGTGTGTTGCTATGACAATCACGTAAACGTTCCAAAATGTTTGCTTAGGTGCACTTACTATAACTGTGCCAAATTTCATTAAATTTCGTTGAATCACTTCCAAGATATTAGACTTTCTTCTTTCTGCTGCCATCTTAGGCCGCGTTTACACTATGACGCTGCGGCAAATTTACCCTAGCGTATAGTGATTTGCATCCACAGTGCCAAACGTGGTGATTCCAGCAAATCGTATCCCAGGGTACCTGCGGTATTGGGAGTTTAAGCTTCACGTTTCCGGGAACGGCAAACGGCAGGTTGGAACTTTCTTGGCAAAATTTTCGTTGAACGTTTTCGTTTCATATTTCCTTTCTTGCGTCGAAAGAATAATTTTGTATTTCAGTTTTAAAACAGCAAGTTTATTTACTCTTTATTGCCTGATACCGTAAAATTTTTCTTTGCCTGGCGTTTGCCGTTTCAGTATAACGCGAAGCTTAAACTCTCTAGTAATACGCTACGGCAAACGCCGTAGCGTATTACTATTATACGCCGTTGCATTCAGAGTGGCAAATGTAGTCAGGGTCCGTAGTTAGTATGTTACGGCAAACCACTCTGTTATAGTGTAAACACGATGTAGTCTCAATCCTAGAAACGTAGTAAAAACAGAATGTTAGCCATACAACCAGTGACGTCATAACACAAAAATACCCGATAACTTGGGAATGAGATGAGCTGTGAATAAATTCTTTACATTTTCAAGATACTTTTAAGTGATGCAAAAAAATTAGGGACAAAAATTTCATGTCATGTGCACTTTAAATCGTTGTGTACGTACATAATGTATTATAGGATAAATGTGCATATAGGCGTACGAGTTTGGAAAACCAGGGAAATTCGGGCTAATGCTACGAAAAATCAAGAAAATTCGGGCAGATTTATCAGACCATAGGTTAAATTCAGGTAATTTCATTACAATCCTACATAAAAATTCGGGCAAACTTTCAACTGGCCCCCCGGAAAGCATCAGCCCCGTACGCCTATGTAAATGTGAGGTCGTAACATTGTGGACGAAAATAGAAAATCAGCATTCAGCAATATATCCGAGAGTTCATTGTGCAACGATTGTCATGATGTAAATACTTCTGAGGTATATTATTATTCGCTCCATTTCTGCAAGACCAAGACAAGACAAGACAAGGCAAGGCAAGGCAAGGCAAGACAAGACAAGACAAGACAAGACAAGACAAGATTTATTTGCTCCTTTCAAATTACAATTATATATACACAAAGAAATTATTTATATTTGTTAGCATTATTATTATTAGTAAAATATATTTTGTGTTCTGTGACTAATTGTTTTCTAATTTTTGAGAAGATTTGAAAGAGAGCTGGCTCCCTGAAATAACCACAGGGCTATATAAATATCAGGGAACCATGCAAATAAAGGACGACTAAAAATATGAAAATTGACAATATAGTTCTATATCAAATAAATCTTAAAAGATCGAGAAAGGAGTCCTGACTCCTGATAACGTATAGAAAAAGTTGGAAACTGAATCAATACTTTGCAAGAAAATCGATTCTAAGTTTATATTTAATTTGAGAAATCAGCAAGTCTTTATATGATCGTGTAAAGAATTCCATATTTTAGCGCCTTGATATCTGATATTGAAAATTCCGAAATTTGTTCTTGCTTTTGGTAGTATATATGTTAGTTTAGAAGCAAGCCTAGTATTTTGAAAAAGAAACATTGCACACAGGAGTAAAGAAATTGTTGAACGTTGGTGGCAACAAGTTGTTATGATATTTGTACATGAAAAGAACCACGTGTAGATTTACAAGATCAGTCAACTTAATGATATTCAACTGTTTGAAAAGTGAACTAGAGTGGGCATCAAATTTAGAGAATGTTATAATACGCACAACCTTTTTTTGGAGTATAATTAAAGGTTTGACTGTTGAGGAAATAAACGTTACCCCATATATGATTAAACCATGCATATGTGATAAAAGGGTAAATTAAAGCATAATATAAATTAACCAGAATGTACGTTGCTATCTGCATAATATCTAAGTTTAGACAAAATTCCTATACTTCTTTTAATCCTTTTTGAAATAAACGTAATTTGTTTTTTCCAAGTTAAATGAGAATCGAAAAAAATACCAAGATACTTTATGTGATCTACTTGTTTAATGTCTTTATTTCTTACCGAAAATGTTATGTCTGTTAGTATATTTTTTTGGTAAGGATGAAATATAAGAATATGCACATGTTTACAATGTCCTAACACTGGTAACTAGTCGCATGTCCTCGGCAGGAAAAATGGGTTAATTTCGAATCAATATGGGTTAATTTCGAATCAAGTGTTTCCACAATATCTGTCATTCATGATCATTTGTCGTTTTGAGTTTTTATGACATTCATATACCACAATCATCTGCAATGATATAACAGTATGATAATATAAAAAACTGACATACAAGGACAAGGTCATTATGTCTCTTTCTTTTGTCACTTTCTCTTCAGAATCTGTCTCTCGGACTCGTACGCACAAACCAACAAAAAATACGTATACAGTAGTTACACCTATAACCTTTCCAGAACGTCTCTCTTTATAGGGACTCTTTTTTTTTCTCCTATAGTTACCCTTCAATTGTACTTCTATTTCCTCTTTCAAACACATTTTTATGTTCACTATTTTTCCAAACTTGAATCAATCTTTGATGTAAATCGAATGCGTAGGAACTATATAGGAAGACAAGTTGTTGTTCTTGAGGATTCAATCGTTCATGTACGTTTCATGTTAGTATTTGTTCAAATGTATCAGTATATTAAATGATTCATAGTGTGTTTGTGTATTTAGGCATAGTGACTAAATGATTGTGTGATTAGGCATCTTGTTCGATAGATTAGTTTTTCATAGATGGAATTTTCGAATCTACATATTTGTATCTAACCAGGAGCAGTTGCGAAAATTGCAATTATATAGGCCTTCTGGCAGGAATCGAACCTGCAGCTCTATGATTCCGATTCTCTAATAACCAACTGAGCTACAGACTGTGGGAACGATGAATCGTAGGTTAATAATGTTCAGCAACTGGACTCAGTTGGTTAGAGCAACTGGACTCAGTTGTCAGAAGATCTTGAGACGGTACAAAAGCGAGCACTGAAGATCATTTTACCCGCGAACTCATATAGCGAAACTTTAGAATATTTCAATCTTCAAACTTTGTTCCAAAGACGCGAAGAAATGTGTAACAAACTTTTTACAAATATTACTAACAATCCGACACACAAACTGCATAATTTACTGCCTCCCAAACATGAGTCGGTTTACCAACTTAGGAACAATAGACTGTTTGAACGATTCGAAACTACAGTAATACAGAAAGATTTTAAAAAACTTTTATTCCTATGTCTAGTAACTTAAGTTGATGTAATTTTTAGTACTAAGCGTTTTAATGACCATTTGTAAATATGCCTAATTAACCCATATTCTATCTTTTAAATAATGTTTTGTATACTTTTGTAAATCACGCAATTCAGCTGTCCAGCTGCAAGGTGAATTTTAAATACACTATCTATCTATCTATCTAGAGCGCTGCACCGGAAACGCACAGCGAATCGCAGGGCCGCGGGTTCTATTTCTACCAGAGAGCCTATATATATACTATAGTTCTCGCAACTGCTGCTGGTTTGGTCTAAAAGTGTATAGAAACTAATTACGTTCAAAAATCCCATCTGCGAAAAACCCATCAACTAGTATTAGTGTATTTGTTTGGTTGATCTTATTAAATATGGAATACCTGTCGTGTTGACTATAACTTCGACCTTACGATATTTGCCTCCATTTGTATTGAATTCTTCGAGTAAATAAAATATGTAAATTTAAAAAAGGTTGCAGTTTTTCAACTGAAACATTATGAGGAAAGAACTTCGCTAGCGTCTTAAAATTAAAGTTACTTTCGGGGCCAATATTTAATTCTTTTGAACAAGGCGTTATTTTTTCTGACTCTTCCACAGTCCCCCCAAAATAGCGCAATGATTCGTGGGGATGCTCTAATAATTCCTCAAAGTCCATATCTAAGAGGATCGTAATTCCACACACACATTACTAAACTAACTGTCGACATTTAGGATAGTAAGACCATTCACAGGTCTGTTGCATGGTCATGGTTTTTCTGAAAGTTAATTCTTGTTTTTATCCCATAGGTTATGGAAACACTGTGCCAAAGACAGTCGCAGGTCGAATGTTTCTCATTATTTATGCTACGATAGGGATCCCACTTATGGCAATGATGTTGACAACACTTGGAGATAAAGTGAAGCATGCAATTAGGTCATCTTTAATATCGTTTGAAAGAAACATTCTCAAGAGAAGTCGACCTCAAAATATCCAAAGGAAGTCGCTGATTGCAGTATTTGTTATAACTGCAATATTTCTATGCTCGGTTTCTGCCATCAGTGCAAAAGTTGAAAATTGGGAGTTTTCCCTAGCATTGTATGTTTGGTTTGTGACTTTTACGACAATAGGTTTTGGAGATTATGTGCCCCAAGGCTCCGGCAAGATAGATCCACTATATACTCCCTTAGAATTAGCGTATGCATTGATCGCATTTTTTCTGGGTCTGGTATTAATAGCAACTATTCTTCATACGTTATCTGACTGGATCAACAGTAAGAGGCCGCCTACCACAGATGATCTTAAACGATCTCTGGGACGTATGACTGGCTCACTTTCGACACACAAGGAAGAACCGTCGACAAACATCGCCGAGACATAGAGAACGAGAATAGCCTGGAGTGAGAATCATCTTTTCTCAAGTCCAACCAAACGTATCCAACCGTATCATATCGCCAGACCCAGAAGATTCTTTGTGATACTGATTCACAAGTGACATTGATTCACAAAAGAAAACGCTGTGGTATGACTTGATAACTAGCTGATCTGACCGTGAAGAAAAGGCGTGGAACTAGCAGCAGAATAGAAATCCATTTTGCTTTATTTATATAATCACTAGTATATTTCGTTATCTTTTATCAAACTAGTTTAAGCATAATTACAAAGTTTAATTAATAATTAAACTTTGTAATTATGCTTAGTAGTGGGAAATATAAGTCTATTTTAAGTTTGGAAGCAAAGTATGATATATTTCACGAGATATTAAGTAGTTTTAATAGAAACTAATGGATTTCTATTTTACAACTAGTCCCAGTTCTTTTCTGTGTTTTCAAATCACCTGGAAGTTATCACTGTGCTTCATCGTACTAAGGTGCAGTAGAAAAGATCCGACCAATTCACATGATTCGGCACCGTCAAAGCTACCCATGGTGACATCAAATAAATTTGATGACGATTTCTTTCCCCAGTGTTAAACCGAGTTGTACAAAGTACAAACACGATTTATTAGAGATCCAGGATTTGTTTGCTAACTCTTCCAATTTCAGATTTGCTCGGTTTGATAAGGCGGCAAGTCGGGTTGTTTTCAAAATTAGGTTTGTCATCTTTCAACGCATAACAATTTTTGTGTGTTCCGCGACAAATAAATAATGAAACAATTATTGAATGAGGTCGAGTAGGATATGGGGAATTATTAAGGCCTCGGTTTGTGTTATCTGCCTTCGGCTTCGGCAGATAAACACAAACCTAATAATTCCTCATATCCTACTCGATCGACCACAAGATAAAGTCAATTTGACAATAGTCAATTTGCACTCCTGAACACTGTAGTGCTTACAAAAATGTTGCTTTGTGTTTACTGTTGCTACTCGTAAATCGATTTGTTATAGGTTACATTACAGCCTGAGTTTAATAGTACAGTAGATGCTCCAAATACAGTAAACTATGAACTAAAAAATATAGCGTAGTGAAATATAGTTCGCTACATTTTTTAAACAATAGCTGTAGTCAGTAGCGAACTACCTTTGTTCAAAAGTAGCAGTAGTTGTAGCTGACTACATATTTTTGAAGTAGCTGTAGTTATAGCGAACTACAAAAATTTTGTAGTCAACCCACCCTTGGATTATAGCTCAAAGTGAGTAAGTAAGTGAGTGATTGAGGGCCCATGCCCCATGGCCATGCATGTTATTTAATAATTTATTATTCAATTAATAGGCATGTATATTTTCCCGGTCGGCAAATGTCCAATGGACATTTTATGTCCATTGGATCCAATGGACCATTGCATGCTGGACATTACCCATTACCCATTACCAATATATCCATGATACCGTTTCCCGGTGGTTACAAAGTCCGGTTTAGTCCATTGGATCCAATTGACCGTCAAATATCCAACGGACATTCGATATGTCCATTGGATCCATCGAACATGTCCATTCAGACCCGGAAAAAGTGTTCAATGTTCCTCGGATCCTGAATTTGCCTTTTTCAAATGTTCCTCAATTATATTGGTTGTAAAATTGCCGAGGAAACAAAACAATCTTCAAATTCTATTAACAGGATATGAAGAACACTTCGTTATCTCAAAATATAGACTCAAATGGCAGATAACTAAATATGATTCCTTAAAATTCTCCCTTAAAGTATGCGTGAAAAATTCAAAATGTTCCTCAATCTTGTTGCTAAGGCAAATGTTCCCCAGGATCCTGAGAAGGCTGAGATCCCACTTTTTTCCATGCAGGTCTGTGTCCAATGGACGATTTGAGTCATATGTCCATTAGACATTTGCGTTAGACTAGTATTAGACATGTATGAGCTGGCTATACTATATCATTGCAAGGTTGAAATATATTTCTCCTTTTTTATGTGACACTGCCATTGGATTAACCAAAATTATCAGTTTTGAAAGGTGAAACACAGTGTCGCAGTTTTAAGTGTGCCTACGTGATTTTCAAAGCAGAGTAACGCTCGGCTGCCGCATTTGTGTAATTGTTCTTTTACAATACGATAATCATCGGCAAGAATTTTCACTAATTTTTCAGTTAGAAAGTACATGTATTTCACAAAACTATATCTATCATGCATCAAAACCTACCATCAGGCAATATACACATGGTTATTTTAAACAATTATTTTTGTGGGAAATAGCTGGAAATGCACTTTCTTGGCTTGTTATAATTTTCAAAATCTTCGGGGTGGGAGCATACCCCAGACCCCTATTTCATTTCAACACGAGCCCATCCAATCGTAAAATCGCGGCCAATGATACAGTATAGTACAAAAAGCATTGTACCGTGTGAAGTTTAGTACTTTAGTTAAATATTTTATCAACATGAATTCAATGTTCTTATACTAGTTAGTGAACAGTACAAACACAGTACACTATTTGATTATAAGAACATAGATTTATAAGAACATAGAATTACGGAGTGTACAATTACACAACTCAACATAACACTTGCAGAACTATAAGTATTGTTCGATGCTGAATTAATATAAACGAGTATGTTTATGACATTCAGTATATATATTTCATGATTTCCAGTCTTAAATCCGTCTGACCGTGTAGCTCAGTTGGTAGAGCGTCGATCTAGTAATGAGGGTCTCCCAGGGGGGGTACTTGTTCCCGTGTTCCCTTCAAAATTTTCGATTTGTTCCCTTGTTCCCTTCCAAAATTTAACAATGCTCTCTTGTTCCCCTTTATAAATTAAATTTTGTTTCGTTATTCAGAAAATTTGACAGTTTATCCTCGCTATCATCCATTATATTAATACATACGTTCACTTTAGCAAAATTAAACAGAAAAATACAATTACAAGCCTGCAGATGTTGCTCATTTGAAAAATACAATACTGAAGAAAACTATAATGTTTAATAGTTATTTGACTTCGTGGAAGTATTGACAGTTTTACTATTACATAACAAAAAATAGATCTAATGAACAGCATTGCATTTATAGTTTCTTCACCTTTACTAATCATAATATACAAAATCGTCAGTAGCCTAATATGTGGTGTCTTTCTTGCACGTCTTGGCTTCGTATCTGTTGCACTTTCTTGGTCGATATCCTGGCGCTCTCTAATTTCTCTCGCCTCTTCAATCGTCACAGCATCAACACATTCAATCATTCTCGACTGCTATCTTAGAAACTCATTCTCTGTCAGTTCAAGGTTGCTATCTCCTGCAAACGGTTTCCACTTGAGAACCAGGTATTTCCTTCGCATTGACCTTGACGTACAACTCCTTCTTCTGTAAATATAAGTGGAATGAAAGGATCACCTTCAAAAATGGTGGCTCTTGTAGATGGTAGATCATCATCCGCCCACAATTGGCGTACGAGGCAAGAAAAACAACGTCCCCAGTGGAATGAAGAATGTTGTGCGTGTTGGCATGGTGTGTGTCTGTTTGGGTACCATTTTCTGTAATTTTCGAGAATTCCAAAGGTTTGCTAGCTGGCTGTGCCAGGACATAGAGATTTATCGGCAGAGTACCCGGATTGTCTTTAGTGCTCATGTTCCGCACGGTATTCTGTGGGACACTTTGACCATACTGCATGCGCCAGTCTCTCATTTGCTGCACTTGTGACTTTGTCAACTGTGCTGCTGAAGGTGGGGCCATCTTTGGTAGAGTTGAATACTTCAAGTCAGATT